AGGTCGTGTGGAGCATATGAGAGGGGACCCAACTAGTGTGTGTTGAGGCGTTGGAAACATTAGGGAAGCCTGAGACAGTCAGCACTGAGGCTAACCCCTGAAGGAGGATTAATTCAATGAAGAGAGAGGAGGAGTGTAGGGGGCAGAGATACAGCCCAGAGGTAAGAGAAAGCTGAGGATAGCCCAAGGGCAGAAAGGTGGGGGGGGGGGAGAGAGACGAGGCCATAGGGAGAGACGAGGGAGAGGCAGACCTGGGGGCCCTTGTGGGCTATGTCAGGGATTTTGGACTTCATCCCAAGGTCACTGGGGGAGCACCTAAAGAGTTTTAAGCTTATGATCAGATAAGCAGCTCAGAAAGAAGAATCTGGGTGCTGTGAAGATAATGAAAGGGGGGGGAGGGGGAGCAAGACTGAAGGAGTGTTGGTTTCCGAGGCAGTATCACTACAGAAGTAGACTGCCTAACCTTCCTTCCGAGGAGTGGCTGGTGGGTTTGAACCGCCAGCCTTCTGGTTAGCAGTCAAGCGCCTTAGCCACTATGCTACCAGAGCTGGTGGGAAATTATGAAACTAGTTGCAGGAACAATGAAAAGATGGACTGGTGCGAGGTTGAAGCGGAGTAGACTGTGAAACTTGTGACTAACTCAGTGGGAAGTCAAGGATGATCTGGGTAATAGGCTTGGGCAGTTGGGTGGAGAGAGGGGCCTTCCTCTGAGATGCTGTAAGGAGTGGAAACCTGAGGGAGGAGCAGGTGACTGGCCCACTTCCTCCGGCTTCTAGTCTTTGAAGATGGAATCATAGGAGGTGCTCAGTGAGTGTCAACGGTAGCTGCTTCCACAGCTTGGCTGGCACTCAGACAGTGTCATTCTAGTCAACTGTTACCAACCAGCTCTCCAGAAAAAGAAGGAAAACAAAAAAGTAGATGTGTAGAACTTGCCATGTTCTGTGGTATAAATACTCCCATTGTGGCTAATTTCAAGTTTCTCACATGATGATGACTGTCTCATAAAGTTACTAAAAAGTTAACAGTTGACTACAGCATGCAACTGCCAGGGTTTAGAAGGGAGACGGTTCTCCAAATCTTTTGCTATGAGGTTTGGTTCCTTCTCATTCGTCACCACCCAACTTTTTCTCCACAGAAGCTGAGCTCTTGAGGAAAATCCGCATCCACATGAGGGCCCTGGACACGCTCCAGATGGCCTCCGCCCCTATCACCTCCTCTAGTAGCCGGGCAGACCCACGGTCTCGAACAGCCACTCGAACCTGGGAGCAAAAGCTAGGGTTTCTGCAGACTGACTTTGAATTCCAGCCTCGGGTGAATCCTGCTGTCCCTGACTACGAGGGCCTTTACAAGGCCTTCCAGAGAAGAGCTGCCAAGAGAAGGGAAACACGAGAGGTGACTCGCAACAAGCCCTTCTTGCTGAGAACTGCCAACCTGCGTCACACTCAGCGCCTGGGAGATGCCGACACCAACGGAGGGAAGAGGGTGAGAGCCCAGGAGGTCGTGGGAGGGTCAGGGCCTGAGGCCTGACTACAGGGGTAGGCCCAGGTCTCAGTGGAAGGCACTCCTCATGACATTTTTCAATCTTAAGTTTTTGAAAAATATTGGCACAGTTACAAGCAGGCCACAATTCCTATAAACCTAAGACCACAAGAGCACTTCCTTTCCTTCCTTCTCTATAG